CCCACAGCCTCCATCACATTAACCAGGTCGTCACTATCTCACCAAATTGGAAGCCCCGCCTAGTTCTAAAATGTTCTGTAATCCTTGGTGCCTAAGAGTTTTTTGGGGTCACCGAAGTCCAAACAGTGTAAAAAAATAAAAAATAAAATAATTATATATATATATATATACCGTTCAAAAGTTTGGGGTCACTTAGATATGTCCTTGTTTTCGAAAGAAAACATAAAAACTATGAAATAACACATATGGAATCATGTAGTAACCAAAAAAGTGTTAAACAAATCAAAATATATTTTATATTTGAGATTCTTCAAATAGCCACCATTTGCCTTGATGACAGCTTTGCACACTCTTGGCATTCTCTCAACCAACTTCACCTGGAATGCTTTTCCAACAGTCTTGGAGTTCCCACATATGCTGAGCATTTGTTGGCTGCATTTCCTTCCAACTCATCCCAAACCATCTCAATTGGGTTGAGGTCGGGTAATTGTGGAGGCCAGGTCATCTGATGCAGCACTCCATCACTCTCCTTCTTGGTGAAATAGCCCTTACACAGCCTGGAGGTGTGTTGGGTCATTGTCCTGTTGAAAAACAAATGATAGTCCCACTAAGCCCAAACCAGATGGGTTTGCGTATCGCTGCAGAAAGCTGTGGTAGCCATGCTGGTTAAGTGTGCCTTGAATTCTAAATAAATCACAGACCTTGTTACCATCAAAGCACCCCCACAACATCGCACCTCCTCCTCCATGCTTCACGGTGGGAACCACACATGCGGAGATCATCCGTTCACCTATTCTGCGTCTCACAAGGACACGGCGGTTGGAACCAGAAATCTCAAATTTGGACTCATCAGACCAAAGGACAGATTTCCACCGGTCTAATGTCCATTGCTCGTGTTTCTTGGCCCAAGCAGGTCTCTTCTTATTATTGGTGTCCTTTAGTAGTGGTTTCTTTGCAGCAATTAAACCATGAAGGCCTGATTCACACAGTCCCCTCTGAACAGTTGATGTTGAGATGTGTCTGTGACTTGAACTTTGTGAAGCATTTATTTGGGCTGAAATTTCTGAGGCTGGTAACTCTAATGAACTTATCCTCTGCAGCAGAGGTAACTCTGGGACTTCCATTCCTGTGGCGGTCCTCATGAGAGCCAGTTTCATCATAGCGCTTGATGGTTTTTGCGACTGCACTTGAAGAAACGTTCAAAGGTCTTGAAATGTTCCGTATTCATTGACCTTCATGTCTTAAAGTAATGATGGACTGTCATTTCGCTTTGCTTATTTGAACTGTTCTTGCCATAATATGGACTTGGTCTTTTACCAAATAGGGCTATCTTCTGTATACCCCCCTACCTTGTCACAACACAACTGATTGGCTGAAACGCATTAAGAAGGAAAGAAATTCCACAAATGAACTTTTAACAAGGCACACCTGTTAATTGAAATACATTCCAGGTGACTACCTCATGAAGCTGGTTGAGAGAATGCCAAGAGTGTGCAAAGCTGTCATCAAGGCAAAGGGTGGCTATTTGAAGAATCTAAAATAAAATACATATTTTGATTTAACACTTTTGTTGGTTACTGCATGATTCCATATGTGTTATTTCATAGTTTTGATGTCTTCACTATTATTGTACAATGTAGAAAATAGTACAAATAAAGAAAAACCCTGGAATGAGTAGGTGTGTCCAAACCTTTGACCAAGCTCACTCCTCAAAATAGCAAATCCCAATTCCCCGTCTTTGTCAAGTCTATTTACAAAAGATGACAAACCTTAAAGGGCAATGCCGCCACTTTCAACCTCCTATTCATTATCCCCAGCACCATAGCAGTGTCTACATATATAACAACCTCCTATTCATTATCCCCAGCACCATAGCAGTGTCTACATATATAACAACCTCCTATTCATTATCCCCAGCACCATAGCAGTGTCTACATATAGAAAAACTGCATTTCTATGATTTGTGGTTAAAAAGATGAGAGGGGTCCTAAAAAATAATTCACAGGGTAAAATAAAAACTCTGAAAAACGGTGATTTTCAAAACGAGTTTCTAGACAGAGGGAGGGTATTTTCTTGCGCCACACATCATCGCAAATCTATTTTGAAAATCACTATTTTTATAACTGTTAACTTGTGATGTCATCATGTAGAACATAATGTTCAATTTTTTTCTATAGAATGTAGAAATGTGCCGTTTTCACATGTGTAGACACTGCTATTGTGCTGGAGATAATTAAAATGACATTGAAAAGTGCTGGAATTGCCCTTTTCAACTCGGACATCCTAAACATTTAAGAGACTGTAACAGCATCTCGGTCTGTTCTTGGCCTTTGTGACAGCATGGCTGTCCTGCGTCCAAAATGGCTCCCTATGGACCTGGTCAAAGCTAGTGTACTACGTTTGCTGCAGACTTGACTGTTTTAATGTGTGAAATTATTTTAGGCCCTTTGTGACTATCGGCTGACAGACCTGCTGTCTTGTCAGACTAGCTGAGGATGATCCAGTGTGTATATTTGCCAACAGAGCTCATCACTGTGAACTTTCCTTTTAAATACTTTAACCTAAATGATGCTGTTATTTTTCCTTCACTAAGTTTGCAATGTTAAACGTTTTATTTTGCCTTCTGTCATATTATTAGCTACTTTTCTGACCATGACATATTTGATATGTATCTGTGCGTTTAATAATAAAATGGTTGCTTCATTACAGGATCTCTCGCTGGTCTTCATTTTTATTTGACAGAACAATTCAAATGTAATATATTGTCCAAAACGCGTTTCTCAAGCAATCATAACTCATAATGATCTGTAGTAACCAAAAACGGAATGAACCCGACCACCCAACCCTCCCACGTCTTTGTCACAACTGATGCAGGAACAGCCCTGGGCATTGGGATGTAGAATAATGGTACACCAGGTTGTTCTTAGCGAAAAACAGACAAACAGAAATAACATTTAGAGATTTGATCAATGAATGGAGTGAATAAGTGATCCAGATCTTTGGATAGATCAGGGGAACGAGCCAATCAGAACCATCTAATCCCTAAGTAAACACCCAGTATATAAGACAAAGACATTGACTGTCCACTTCTGGAAATGTTTCAGATGTATAGTTTCTTGAATGATTCTGCTTCGTCTCATTTTGCTCTGCCTACTTTCTACCCTGCTCTGTGGTTCGGGTCAGAAACCCTCTGCCCTCCCCTCCCAGCACAATAAATAATGTGGCACGGGGCTCAGGCCTTTTGTGTCCACACAGATTCTTTCTTCTGCGTGTTCTGCTGGGGGTAGGCGGAAACCAGGGCGTTTAATCCGAATAACACAGAGTCTTGTTGGGGCTCTGATAAAGGGCAGCATTGTATGGTAATAGTTTATATAAGACCATATGACCACTGGGCTGCGCTGGGCTCTGCTACGGTGCAGGGTAGTGGCTAGCGTCGCGGGAATGATTAGCATTTTACCAACGCATCGTGTTCACAAGCCAAGAGCCTTCTGGTTCGATGCTAAAATACACTCATTTTAATTTAACCCTTCTTTGTACACATTTTGTGTACCACCACAGCTGAAGGTAAAATGCATCATAATATCTCTGATTCTCTTTATTAACCATTTGGATGATGATGATGATGATGTTGAGATTCCTGAGGAAGAGAAGAGGGTCTGACTATCTGAGGGTTGACGTGTTCTGGAGAAAGAGGGTAGTTACTGACATGAAACATCTGTTCACTTGAATACAATAACTTCTCTTGGTTGGATCTGGGTGTATTTTATTATTTGCATAGTTTAAAGACCGTTTCAAGACGGCTATATTTCTTCAGTTACAGTAGAGGTCTTAGACGGTGTCGGTCTGAAGTTAGTTGTGAGATGGATGTTTGAGTTTTGCTTGGAGAATATATCTTGGCCTGTCTGTCTGTCTGGTGTAGCCTTGTCCGTCTGTCTGAAGGTCAGGTTGCGAGGTCAGTCAGTATTAATACTTGCTGAATGGATCACATGTCTCCGTTATCATTTCGCTATTGGCTATCGGAGCGTTACGTGGCGTGACGTTGCGTCGTGTTAGGCCATCGCCCAAGGTTCTTAAAGCGCAGGCCAGGGATTGGCTGAGTCTTGTTTGGCGTTGCTGTGACCCGACCGCTCCAGCTCGATGGCCAGGCTACACCTGACGGTGGTGGTTTACCGACCCGGTGCTGCTGACACCGCCGGCTGAGACTGGTAGGACCAACTGGGGCTGCTTCCTAAATCTCACCCTATTTCATGGGCCCTGGTTGAAAGTAGTGCACTTTTATAGGTAAAGGGGTGCCATTTGGGACACAGACAGGGTGTGTTAGGTTGGGGTTGTTGACTATGTAGGAGGATGGTTTTGTTTTAGTCTACGTTAGTACGTTTGAGAATGATTTTCTGTCCGATGTGTCTGGTGTTTTAGATTTGTGTGAGGAGCAGGATTTGAGCTCAAGTATTTGTGATGATTGTTGGTTGGATACATACACCTGTGGGATTTATTTTTGTCAACAATAATATCCATCTTTAAGAACTCTTTCTTAATTTTCTTGATTGATTGCCTGCCTTTATTAACGATTGACTCAGAGATTGTACAGTTTCAGCGATTGTATCAATATGTTACCGACATGTTATGTACTTTGATGTCCCATAATTCCTTTGATGTCCCCTAATTCCTTCATTACATGTTTCCTTGACATGGTCATTCTTTATAAAGAATGGCCACCCTTCCGAGTGTGATCGAACGTCAGCTTGTCTCAATACATTGTCAATATGTTATCAATACATTGTCAACATGTCATCAATACATTGTCAATATGTCATCAATACATTGTCAACATAAAGTTGTTCCCTAAGTCCTACATTCTTCTACAGAACAGTTATTCTCCTGATCATCAGCTTGACATTTCTCCTTTCCAGCCTGGGCTTGGGAAAGGCTTTAGAGCGGAACCATTAAACCGACTGAACTAAATCCATTCTTGTTTCTCCTCTCCAGACCTGGAATCAAAAATGAACTGGGGGTCCTTTTACGCCGTGATCAGCGGCGTAAACAGGCATTCCACCGGCATCGGCCGCATCTGGTTGTCTGTCATCTTCATCTTCCGAATCCTGGTCCTCGTAGTGGCGGCCGAGTCGGTCTGGGGAGACGAGAAGTCTGGCTTCACCTGCAACACCCAGCAGCCCGGCTGCAACTCTGTCTGCTATGACCAGTTCTTCCCCATCTCACACATCCGCCTGTGGGCCTTGCAGCTCATCCTGGTGTCCACGCCTGCTCTCTTAGTGGCCATGCACGTAGCCCATCGCAGACACATCAACAAGAAGATCCTGAAGAAGTCCGGGCGTGGTTCCCCCAAGGAGCTGGAACAACTCAAGAACCAGAAGTTTGCGATCACAGGCGCCCTCTGGTGGACCTATATGATCAGTGTGCTGTTTAGGATCGTTCTGGAAGTCGGCTTCCTTTATATATTCTACCTGATCTACCCTGACTTCAAGATGTTCCGTCTGGTCAAGTGTGACTCGTACCCCTGCCCCAACACTGTCGACTGCTTCGTGTCGCGACCCACGGAGAAAACCATCTTCACCGTGTTCATGCTCTCAGTGTCGGGGGTGTGTGTTCTCCTCAACCTGGCCGAGGTGGCCTACCTGATTGGCCGAGCCTGTCTGAGGTGTATCCATGGTAACCAGGAAGAGACTAAGGTAGCATGGATCGGTCAGAAACTGTCCTCCTACAAACAGAATGAAATCAACCAGATGATCGCTGACCAGTCAAAGTTCAAGTTCAACATGGGAGCTAGGAAGACCTCTATGGAGAAGGGAGAGCGGTGCTCTGCTTTCTGATAGGCTGCCCTGGAGGGAGGCAGGTGTTCTGATTCGCTGCCTATGGAGATGGGAGAGAGGTGCTCTGCTTTCTGATAGGCTGCCAAGTCTTAGTTCCTACTCATTTTCACGGCTTCAAACTAAAGAACTAACCAGCTTGGAACCATACTGGATGGAAATCCTCAATAGCTCCGTCTAGTCATAACATCAATCATCATTTAGTTCTTCATCCATATATTCTAGTGACTGGTGCTAGGTTCTCAACATTCCTTCCTGTGGTAGGATACGAAGAGGAACAAACCAACCCAGATGGAGGGTGTTGGATGGGCCCCAAAAAATACAAATAAAACCAACCCAGACAAACTCAATGCTGGATTGGAGGGAGAACATTGTTTCATCGTGATCGACACAGCCGCTGTTTTGTCTCACAACCTTGGGGCAGGAACTGGTGGATAAAGGAACATTTGTTTCAGCACATGACTTGAGAAACCCATTGTATTGGAACTCACTGAGTCTCCTACAGCACAGAGACTACTCCTACAGCACGGAGACTACTCCTACAGCACAAAGACTACTCCTACAGCACAGAGACTACTCCTACAGCACGGAGACTACTCCTACAGCACAGAGACTACTCCTACAGCACGGAGACTACTCCTACAGCACAAAGACTACTCCTACAGCACGGAGACTACTCCTACAGCACAGAGACTACTCCTACAGCGAAGAGACTACTCCTACAGCACAGAGACTACTCCTACAGCACAGACTACTCCTACAGCACAGACTACTCCAACAGCACAGAGACTGTGCTTTTCAACAGCATAGTGTTTCTAGGCTCTCAGACGGTACTATATAGTCTGACATGGTGTTTCTAGGCTCTCAGACGGTACTATATAGTCTGACATGGTGTTTCTAGGCTCTCAGACGGTACTATATAGTCTGACATGGTGTTTCTAGGCTCTCAGATGGTACTATATAGTCTGACATGGTGTTTCTAGGCTCTCAGACGGTACTATATAGTCTGACATGATGTTTCTAGGCTCTCAGATGGTACTATATAGTCTGACATGGTGTTTCTAGGCTCTCAGACGGTACTATATAGTCTGACATGGTGTTTCTAGGCTCTCAGATGGTACTATATAGTCTGACATGATGTTTCTAGGCTCTCAGATGGTACTATATAGTCTGACATGGTGTTTCTAGGCTCTCAGATGGTACTATATAGTCTGACATGGTGTTTCTAGGCTCTCAGACGGTACTATATAGTCTGACATGGTGTTTCTAGGCTCTCAGACGGTACTATATAGTCTGACATGGTGTTTCTAGGCTCTCAGATGGTACTATATAGTCTGACATGGTGTTTCTAGGCTCTCAGACGGTACTATATAGTCTGACATGGTGTTTCTAGGCTCTCAGATGGTACTATATAGTCTGACATGGTGTTTCTAGGCTCTCAGACGGTACTATATAGTCTGACATGGTGTTTCTAGGCTCTCAGATGGTACTATATAGTCTGACATAGTGTTTCTAGGCTCTCAGACGGTACTATATAGTATTCTGATAGTATGTGCAGACACTCAGACATGTTAAACATCAGTCATCAACATGTTACTGATGGTGTTTCTAGACACTCAGACGTGTTAAACATCAGTCATCTCAACACATTATTCTCGATCTGTGAAATTGTGGTATTGCTGAGAAGTCACATGATGTGCAGTGGAACCTATGAAGAGGCAAGATTAGAGATTATTTCTTCAGGCTTGGGCGTAGCCAGGCAAATCAGATTAACCAATAACTTCCTGGTTTTCGATTGGTTGAAAACAGGCTGCTGCCATTTTACATTTACCCACAATCATTTTAATCTGTTAAATCATTTTATTTGCATAATATTATTCATTTTACACATTTATTTCATATTTAATGTAGGAAAGTTATTGTACTTGAATATAATCCTGCTCCATCTCCTCTTTATTCCTGTCTAGTTTCCAGTTCGTCAGTTTACAATTTAATCATACACATTGTTCTCATAAAAGGCTAAATACATTTTGTTGTACAGTAAAAATACAAGAATTATAAAGATATTGCATTTAACCTGTGCTTTTCATTCAGCTGTAAAGCAGCTCTTTATTTCTGCTTTAGTTCGAGTATTAATGTCCATCTACTATGGGTAAACATCCAGTCTAGGGTTGCAACATTCCGGTTACTTTCCCAAAATGTCCTTGTTTTCCAGAAATCCTGGTTGGAGGATTCTGGATTTCCTGCTTTATTGCTTCCTGGAATTTTGCAACCGGGATTATTGGGAATATTGGTAAAAGTAAACAGAATTTTGCAACCCTAACCAGTCCATGGTGTATATATGACCGGTTAAACAGGTTGTAACAATGTATATATGTATATTATTGTACATTAAGGAATAAAATCCATAATTATTTGAACAACTCAAATGTGTAGACGTTCTTTATAACATTGACTGACATTGCAAAGTGTCAGTACCGGTATGTTGTTGTACTTCCTAACCTCTGGTTTCACGTCTTAGTGTACGGTAAATCCATGTGGATGGATAATGTCTTAGTGTACGGTAAATCCATGTGGATGGATAATGTCTTAGTGTACGGTAAATCCATGTGGATGGATAATGTCTTAGTGTACGGTAAATCCATGTGGATGGATAATGTCTTAGTGTACAGTAAATCCATGTAGATGGATAATGTCTTAGTGTACAGTAAATCCATGTAGATGGATAATGTCTTAGTGTACAGTAAATCCATGTAGATGGATAATGTCTTAGTGTACAGTAAATCCATGTGGATGGATAATGTCTTAGTGTACAGTAAATCCATGTAGATGGCTAATGTCTTAGTGTACAGTAAATCCATGTAGATGGCTAATGTCTTAGTGTACAGTAAATCCATGTAGATGTGCGTGTCCCCAGCCTTCCTGGAGTTTGTCATTACCTCCTTTCCACTCCGTCATTGGTGGCTTTAACGGTATTCGCCTGCCTGTCATTGGTGGCTTTAACGGTATTCGCCTGCCTGTCATTGGTGGCTTCAGGACATAAAAGGCTGCTCTTCTCCAAAGCTGTGTCCCAAACGGCACCCTCCCCCCCTCCTCCACCACAGTGATAGATACCCTCTCCCTATAGTCATGCCCTCCCCCCCTCCTCCTCCACAGTGATAGATACCCTCCCCCCCCTCCTCCACCACAGTGATAGATACCCTCCCCCCCTCCTCCTCCACAGTGATAGATACCCTCTCCCTAGAGTCATGCCCTCCCCCCCTCCTCCACCACAGTGATAGATACCCTCCCCCCCTCCTCCACCACAGTGATAGATACCCTCTCCCTATAGTCATGCCCTCCCCCCCTCCTCCACCACAGTGATAGATACCCTCTCCCTAGAGTCATGCCCTCCCCCCCTCCTCCACCACAGTGATAGATACCCTCTCCCTAGAGTCATGCCCTCCCCCCCTCCTCCACCACAGTGATAGATACCCTCTCCCTATAGTCATGCCCTCCCCCCCTCCTCCACCACAAGTGATAGATGCCCTCTCCCTAGAGTCATGCCCTCCCCCCTCCTCCACCACAGTGATAGATACCCTCTCCTATAGTCATGCCCTCCCCCCCTCCTCCACCACAGTGATAGATACCCTCCCCCCCCTCCTCCACCACAGTGATAGATACCCTCTCCCTAGAGTCATGCCCTCCCCCCCTCCTCCACCACAGTGATAGATACCCTCCCCCCCTCCTCCACCACAGTGATAGATACCCTCTCCCTAGAGTCATGCCCTCCCCCCCTCCTCCACCACAGTGATAGATACCCTCTCCCTATATTTAGCAATGAGCTGCACTTGATGCCAGACAGACCAGGAAGTCAAGCTTATTGGCCAGCTGCCCTGTCAATCACCTCAACAGGCAGGGGAGTTTGGCCAGGGGCTCTCATAGTTTACATTAGAGAGCGCCCTCAGCCAAACGTAACCCTGAGGGGATCGGGAGGGAGAGGCTAGCAGCAGTATCAGTAGTAGCAGTGTTCAGCTGGTTGGAAGGGAGAGATGGTTGGAGAGGAACTCTAGGTCCTGGTTGAAGCCTTGACTGAATGAGGAGTGTGTTGGTGTGTCCTGTAGTGTGGAACGGCCTTGTTGTGGCCAGCGGTGGGCTGGTCTGGTGTTTCCTGTTCATTCAAGGGCATTCCTGTTGTGGCAGAGATAGAGAGAGACACAGAGAGAGAAAGAGCGAGAGATAGACTTCCATATTCTACTTTCTGTTTGTCTTCCACTCTGGATTGCTGTGTTTGGAACTACATCTATTCTCATTCTAAGCATTTTGGGCGATTTAGAAATCCCGGCCGGACGCATTTTTTTAGGTCCAAAAAGTGGACATGTCCGGGAAAAAGAGGACCTATGGTCACCCTAGAACTACTACCACCACCTTCACATACTAGAATAGTTATTACTATTACGTCTACCATTCCCTTCACATACAGTACATCATCCTCTGGTGAAGACGGCATGTTTCCTTCTGTCTTGCTTGTGTACCTCCTCGTCCAAGCGATTCTCAAAGTTGTCGTTCGCCATGTTGAATGCACACAGTTTCGGGCTGAATCGAAAAGAAGAAACTCTCATCACCACTAAAGTTGACCAATAACCGACGAAGGGGCATAGGCTTCCGATACCAAACTTCGGCTTGCCTCAAGAAAAAGTTTTTGTGCACGAACAACCGAAAAAAGCCTTGACGAAGACCAAAGTGAACATAAACGTCACAGAATTTCGTCATACTATATGCACAAACTTTTCCGAACTGTTTTGGATGGGAAGCATGTGGACAATGCCTTTAGAAGCCAAGCATAATGCTTTGTGTAGTGTGAATAACATTTACCATTAGACCATACATCAAAGAATAATTCAAGGAATATTACTCAGAAATATGAGGACTAACGTACGTATCCATTTAAAAGTACAGATTTATTAGTAATGCAATAAGAATACAATTATCAAATGGTACATACAGTAGCCTACCAGAAGTCA